ATCAGTTTAAAAAAAAAAAGAGTCCAATGTAATGTACTTTTTTCTTAGGCTGTGCTGCTGGCAGTAGTGCCAGCTCTCTGCATTTCACAGGAACACACGGCCAGGCAAGGTTATGTCATATATTGGATTTGTGTGTACTGTGGTGACCCCAAAAGCCCATTTCCTAAGGGTACAGCCCAGTTGGTTGCTGAGGAGCAAGCTGGATGCTACTGGGGGCTATGAGACATATCACAGGTCTGAGGTTACCCTCATCGATCCATTCCATAAGGCTGTCAGAAGAAATCTGACATCAATTGGATTACCAAACCCCAGTCCACAGCACAGGGAGATGCGAGGATTGATATCTATAGGCTGAAGGAGCCTGGCCTTGGAAGGGGACACAAGTCCCAACACACTGTGTTTCTCACCCTGTGACTTGGAGAAGGTATAGTACTCTCCAGCTCCACTATTAATGCCAATATAAGTAATGTTTGTAAAATTCTTACTAATAAACAAGTTAGGACAGTCATGTCTGTGCCAAAGTGTTTTTTATTTACAAGTTCAATGCAATCTGTATCAAAATTTCAGTGACATTTTTCACAGAAATAGAATAAACAGTCCTAAAATTTGTATGGAACTACAAAAGACCCCCTAACAGCCAAAGCAACCCTGAGAAAGAAGAACAAAGATGGAAACATCAAGATCCTTAATTTCAAACTATACTGCAAAGCTATCTGTAGTATTTAAAACAGTATGGTTTTGGCATAAAAACAGATGCATTTGTTTTGGACCAGAATAAAGAGCCCAGAAATAAAACTCATGCATACATATGTGGTCAATTAATTTATGGCAAAGGAGCCAAGAATATACAATGGGAAAAAGACAGTTTCTTCGATAAATGATGCTAAGAAAACTGGACAGTCACATTCAAAAGAATGATGATACTGGACCACTTTCGTACACCATACACAAAAATTAACTCATCATGGATTAAAGACTTGAATGTAAAATTTAAAACCATAAACCTCTTAGAAGAAAATATAGGTTGTAAGCCCCTTGACATTTTTCTTGGCAATGATTTTTTGGACTCCAAAAGCGAAGGCAACAAAAGCAAAAATAAACAAGTAGTAGGATTACATAAAACTAAAAAGCTGCACAGCAAAGGAAACCATCAACAAAATGAAAGGGCAGTCTGAGTGGGTGAAAGTATTTGCAAATCATACCTGATAAGGGGTTAATATCCAAAATATATAAAGAACTCATACAACTTAATTGTAGAGATGATTGAATAGATATTTTTCCAAAGAAGATATACAGTTGGCCAACATAGAAAAGATGCTACATATAACTAATTATTAGGGAAATGCAAATCTAAACAACAATGAGATATCACCTCACACCTGTTAGAATGGCTGTGATAAAAAAGACAGAAAATAACATGTTTTGGCGAGGATGTAGAGAATAAGGAACAGACCCTTGTGCACTGTTGGTAGGAATGTAAATTGGTGCAGCTGCTATGAAAAACAGTATGGAGGGTCTGTTAAAAATTAAAAATAGAGCCCTGGCCAGTGCCTCAGTTAGTTGGAACATTGTTCCGTGCACCAAAATGTTGCGGGTTCCATTTTTGGTTAGGGCACATACCCAGTTTTGAGGATTTAAAAAAAAAAATTAAAAATAGAACTACCGCCTGGCTAGTGTGGCTCAGTGGTTGAGCATTGACCTATGATCCAGGAGATCGAGGTTCGATTCCCGGTCAGGGCACATGCTTGGATTGCAGTCTCGATCCCCAGTGGGACGCATGCAGGAGGCAGCTGATCAGTGACTCTCATCGATGTTAATATGTCTCTCTCCCTCTCCCTTCCCTCTCTCTGAAATCAATAAAAATATATTAAAAAATAGAACTACCATATGACCCAGCAATTTCACTTCTGGGTATTTATCTGAAGAAAGCAAAAACACTGATACTAAACAATATGTATCCTCATGTTCACTGCACCATTATTTACAATAGCAAAGACATGGAAACAACCTAAGTGTCCATCAGTGGATGAATGGAAAAAATTGTGGTGTGTACATTACCCAATGGAGTATTATTTAGCCATAAACAATGAAATCTTGCCATTGGTGACAACATGGATGGACCTTGAATGTATTATGCTAAGTGAAGTAAGTCAGACAGAGAAAGGCATAACCACATGATCTCACTGATTTGTGAAATCTTAAAAGAAACAAAACCAAGCTCAGAGTTACAGAGAACAATTTGGAGGTTGTCAGAGGGTGTGAGGTTGGAGTGGAAAGAAAATGGGTGAAGAGTGGTCAAAAGATACAAACTTCCAGTTATAAAATAAATAATGAGTATGTAATATACAGCATGGTGAGTATCATCAGGGAAATGCAAATCAAAACCACAGTGAGGGCCGGGGGAGGTGGGGAAGGGTATAGGGGGGATATAAATGGTGATGGACAGAGACTTGATTTGGGGTGTACAATACAATATACAGATTACATGTAGAATTGTGCACCTGAAACCTATATAATTTTAACCAGTGTCCCCCCAATAAATTCAATAAAAAGGAAAAAAATAATTTAAAAAACCCCAATGAGTTTATAGTTAATCACAGTATTAGGGTTAATAATACTGTATAACACATTTGAAAGTTGCTAAAAGAGTAGCTCTTACAAGTTCTCATCACAAGAAAATTTTTTAACTATGCATGGTAATGAATGTTAACTAGTATTGTTGTGATCATTTGCAATATACAAACATCAAATTATGTTGTACATCTGAAAATCATATGTGAATTATACCTCAATTAAAAAAAGTCACTAAATCCAGCTTGTACTTAAGGGAGGGGTATAGAATAATTTTTGGACATATTTTAGAACAAACATACTGTAGTTACCTATTGTTGAGCTTTAGAAATAGGGAGCATCTAATTGGCTACTGCCATTGATATATTGATCTGCCTGATAAGTAAAGTGGGAACCAGGGGGTTAAAAGTACATATCGTGTGAATTATATCTCAATAAAGTGGGGAGAGGGGAGGAGACATAAAAAGTGCTTATCATTCAGAAAACAGGAGATCTAGGGGCAAAATTCCTTCATTGATTTTCTTTTCCTGAGACATTACACCGTTATCTCTGCGTAACAATGACCGATTCATTAGGATAAAGTACTTTTTAGATTTGCCATCTTTAAGTGTTCAGAATGGCAAATTTCAAATGTGAATGAATATATTTGTTATGAGTATTTGAAACACTTAATTCAGAATGTCAATATGTGTTTGTAAAATGGAAGTGTTCTCAGAAAATTCTTTTAAAGGGCCTGTTAAAGCCTGACCAGCATGGCTAAGTGGTTGAGCGTCAACCTATGATCCAGGAGATCAAGGTTCGATTCCTAGTCAGGGCACATGCCTGGGTTGCAGGCTCAATCCCCAGTGGGGGCCATGCAGGAGGCAGCTGATCAATGCCTCTCTCATCATTGATGTTTCTATCTTTCTCTCTTTCCCTCTCTGAAGTCGATAAAAAAGTTTAAAAGGGGGCCCCATTAAATAGTATCTTACACAGAAACCCAATGTGTAACACATAAAAATGGAACTACCCTTGTTACAGGGAAATGGGCCCAGAAACCCACTGGCTTAGGACCTTCTTCAGTCTCCTCATATTGCTGCCAGGGGTCCAAGGAATGTAGATAGAAAACTACACCACGCAGTCAGATTTCTTTCCAACCTAATTCACAAAAATCTATTAATGCATAAGATAGCAGAGGTCAGGAAGATAGGCATAATAGCAAAATAGGACTCTACTAGTTAGCAGACTGATTTCTTTATAATAGTTAAAGCCATAGTGGCTTGGGGAAGGGGTTGGAATGATTGGTTAACCATGGATATTTGTAGAGTACTTTCATTAGTCTGTTGTCTTACCTCATTTTTTCCCCCCAACAGAATAATACAACAGATCTTTGCAGGGTTCTTTGCAAATTCTGCAGTTCCTGGTGGATCCCCACACCCTTTTACCTGGTAAGTAACTAACTGCCTTTTGTTTTATTCTGCAAGAGTAGCATCATTTTAGCTACTATAGTATCTGTGCCATGGTAAGAGAGAGGAAGAGCTGCATAGGTGAGTGCACAGATGTGATTGGCAGGCTGGTAGGCTGTTTGCTGAGCCCAAACTTAATTAAAACTTATTTTTTATTGTTCAGGGTCCCGAGAGTCATTCTGGTCCCCAGGATGTCTAGGCGCTGGATGTGTCTGATTATGGGTTGTGTTGAGGTGGGGAATGAGTAGGTCCCTGCCAGGCTTGGTATCTGATCTGTGGGTTTCTTCTAATCATATGGGAAGATTTTATTCCTTAAGAATTTCTGAAATTGAAAACATAATGCTTAACTTTTTTCAAAGTTAGAAGGTTCGTCAGAAGAAACAAAAGGCTGTAATTCAGTATCAGGGTGACATATCATTGGGGTTAAAGATGGGACTTCCTCATCTTGAGTTATTTTGCTACTTCTGACTCTGCCCCAAAAGGCTTTCTTTGCTCAGAGGGACCTCAGTTCATCCACATAGCTACCCTATTTCCCAGCCCTGGTTTCTCCAAACATACTCCCTCCATCAGCCAGGGCAGTGTACCAGAGCTCCAAAAAGAAATGCTGCCAAGTCTTTCTTGCAATTGCTTTAAGTTGTGATCAGAGAGATTGCTGTGGCTGCTTCTACTTGAAAGCTCCTTATTGTTCAGGACCACAGGCAGCTGTTCTGAATGAGGAAGTTCTGTTACAGATATTTTCCAGTCACAAGGGAAAAACTCTTAAAAGACGGCTCCAGCCCTGGTAGGTGTGGCTTAGTGGTTAAAGGGCTGGTCTTTGCACGGAAAGGTCATGGGTTCGATTCCTGGCCCCTGTCGGGGCGCATGCAGTAGGCAACCAGTGAGACACATCGATGTTTCTCTCTCTGTCTCCCCTCCCTCCCTTTTACTACTATCTGAAAAAGCAATGGAAAAAATATCCTCAGGTGAGGATTAACAAAAAATAAAATAAAAACAGCAACGAAAAAAGCTGCTCCATTTATTAATGTAAGTGGGCACAGAGAAGACAAACTTTTTTTAACCGACAGGCAATGAATCCTTTTGCTCTTGTGTGCCACATGGTATTTCAGGTAGCTTCACATTTTATATGCCATTCAGTTCAGGAAAAATTCCTAGAGAATGGGGGACTATCTGGATAATCTCTCTGATCTTGAAAATCCTGAGAAATTCTTTGCCACTTGATTTTAGAGAACTAGTGACTACAAGTCTGAGAGAGAACAGAATCCCTCTCTCAGTTTTTTTGTGTGATGTAAGACAGAGCCTTGTCACTTCATCTAATGCCGTCTATCTCATCTCATGTGTAGGAGCGGGATGCTGCACTCCAACCCTGGGGACTATGCCTGGGGTCAAACAGGGCTTGATGCCATTGTAACTCAGGTGAGGAGCTGCCTTTTGAAGGTATCTGTTTAGTGTGTCTCATGGCTCAGCAGGCTTCTTGCTTTCCTTCTGCTACTTTCTGAAATGGCAGTCACTCTGCTTTCCCTAATATTTTGAGCTTGTGGGTTTGCATTTTACTAAAGGGATAAATGGTTTACTGGTTTAGCTCAGTATCCATGCATCTTCTAGATCCTAGGCCTTTTTTGAAGATGGCTTCACTTCCATAGGAAGAAAAGGTTTTTCACCCTGGCTGGATAGCTCGTCATTTTTAGAGCATCGTTGCCATACACCACGGTTGTGGGTTTGATCTACCCGGTCAGTGCACATACAAAAATCAGCCAATGAATGCATAAATAAATGAAACAGCAAATCAGTGTTTCTCTTTCTCTCCCTTCCCCTCTCTCTCAAAAAAAAGCATTTTAAAGAAGCGTTTTCCTATAACAAAACAGTATTTTGTATTTTTGACCTCTTGTTCAGTCCTGTGAGGATCCTATTAACAAGTTAGTTCACAAAAAAGGAAGGTCTCCTCATGTGCCAAAGCAGGGATTTCTGCTAGATGGAGCAAAGTAGGGGAAGGAAGCAGAGAAAAGGCATTTCCATACCATGTATAACTATTTCTACTTGTTAATGTTAATTTTAATTTTTTTTTTTCATTTCCCTTGTGGATTGCTGAGAATAGAAAGCATGTTGTTTATATCCATATTTTATAGGCAGTAATTTACGTTTTTTGGCTTACCTTATGCTACTTTCCATACTCCCACCCTTTTCTTCCTTCCAGCAGAGAGATGTTTTTAGATCAGTTAAGTATACTTTTTGTTAAGCTGTAGTTTTGCTCATGATGTCACAACTCTTTTGTTGCCTCTAAAGTTGCTTTGTGCCCAGAAGTGTGCCTTGCAATGATAGGGTCTACTATCTGTAGGTTTATACAGATGTCATCCTGAAATCATAAAGCAATTATGTGTGTTCTGGCAGCAGTAAAGAGGAAACCTATGCCGCTCAGAGCCTTGTAGAAGTAAGAGCAACTAACATTTCTAATACCTGCACTGTTTGTTTTCAACTAGAGCGGCTTGTTACAGGGATAGATGTCTACCACTTCTTTTTCTTTTTTTGTAGCTTTTAGGACAACTGGAAAACACAGGGCCTCCCCCAGCTGACAAGGAAAAGATCACATCTCTTCCAACAGTGACAGTAACTCAGGAACAAGTTGGTAGGTTCAATTTCTGTCATCTTCTGATCTGTTTAAAATTTAGCACCTTCCTGTACTAAGGATCTTCAAGTGAATCTATAACACTCTTAAAATTCCTACTTGGGTGCCATTTAAGGAAGGTACCTACCCTCTTCATTGCGGCTAGTCAGCATGTATTTCCTGAGCAATTACCATGTGGTACAAAGATACATAAAAGATTTCTTGAAGAATTTACTAGAGGAAGCAGAACTCAGCAAATAATTAGATAACAATGTAAAAATGATTATTGAGCAGATGCTATTTACTGGCTCAGGGGAAATAGGAAAAGATACAAATGAGAGGTTGGGAATTTGTTTCATATCTACTCTATACTTAGGTACATTGGAAAGAGATATTCTATTTATAAACACTGGAGGAATTAGTGATAATGGACATTATTTTGGACTGGGCATTTCTTTCATGACACATTTAGAGTCAGAGATTTTAAAGACAGGATGGGTCACCTTAGAGAGGTCATTCTTTTTAAGGAAAACTATGAACCAATGTTAAAATGTCAGCATGGACATGGTGTCTGAATCAGGTATAAGGAGAGTGACCTTATTAGACCTCGTTTGGGGAGTAATGGGAAGTATGATTGGATAGGAAGGGTGGGGCCTGGTTGTAGAGACATTGAAGCTGTGGCTGAGTAGTTAGGGCTGAATAATTTGAGGGTACGTAAGTTTTTGTAGGTCCCCAAATGGAGGAATAAGGGAATTTAAATGGTCTTTAGAGTATATTGGTTTGGAGGTAGTGTCTGAAGTAGATTGGAAGGGGAAAAAAGCAGAAACAGAAATATAAGGGACTGTTGCAGCATCCACGTGGGGTTCAGGTGATGGTGACAAATGCTGACCAAAAGGAAAGGGTAGATACAAAAAACAAAGGCTTTCATCACTGGTTGCATAATGGCTTGAAGGAGGGGCAAGTGTCAAAGGTGATTCTAAAATAATGCAACTTTGTAACTACACAGGTGGTGCTGTCATTATCAGGAATGAGGGAATTGTTAGTAGGCCCTGGTTTGGTAAGGAGGTGATGTTCTTAATTTTAAATTTGTTGGTTTTTGAGGCACCAGCTGAGAATCCAAGTGAAGACCACCTGGAGAGTGCTATGGAGCTGGTATTAGGGAAAATGTGCAGGTACCCACGTGTAGTATATATTCGTAGAGTTGAAAACCTGAGGTTAGAGGGTCCTACTTGGGAGGCTGTTCCAGTAGACCAGGCATAAGAGAAAGCTAGAATTAGGCCAAAGGTGGTGGAAATGGAGAGCAAGGAGTGTCTACTAAGTGGTAGTTTTACTCCAACTGCCTTGAGTGTTGTGGGGCATGCAGCAGGCCCCTGCCACTGGAGAAGTAGACTAGCTGGTGTTTTCAGAGGAGGCAGCTGCTTGACTCTGGACTTGGAGCCTGATCTGCCTTAGAACTTTGCAATTCTGCAGCACCATCTCCTGGTGTAGTTTTTAATTACAGCTTGTTCAGAGGGTTTTAGGGCAGCTGTGCTGGAAGAGGATGCTTAATATGGAGAATAGTAGAGTAAAAGTGGATTGAGACACTGAACGGGAACAGCTAAGATTACTGGGATGAGTCCCTTGATTGTGGTGGACAGATTTCCAGTGTTAGGTCCTAAGTAGAAGCTGCCAGAAGTCTCTCACACATTGCAAAGATGTTGTTCCTGTTTTCCCTAACAGGTAACGTAAGCCCTAGTTTATTTCTTCCAACCTTTTACATGGAAAAGGCGGCCTTATATAGTTCCTATCTAGGTCTTATCAGAATAGGCCCATTCATCAGTCTTCCTTTTCATACCCCGGTCTACTACCACTTCCAACCCATTTTGAAATAAAACTCATGCTTCCTATCTGCCTCCACCTTGGATGCCCTTTGTGTCTTTTCTTTATGCATTCCTTTGGTTGTTAAAGAAATTGGGCTAGTATTGTCTTCCTTCTTTTTGCTTGTTTACTTTAAAAGGCATTTCCTCCTCCAACAGATATGGGTTTAGAGTGTCCAGTATGCAAAGAAGATTACACAGTTGAAGAGGAAGTCCGACAGTTACCCTGCAACCACTTCTTTCATAGCAGTTGTATTGTGCCATGGTTGGAACTGGTGAGTATAGATAGCTCTCATCTGTGACAGGGCATCTGTGCCAGTCACATCTTGTCAGGGGAATGTTCACAGTAAGGGTGTAGTTAACAGTTAATGAAGGTTAGATTTTAGTCCCCTGCTAACTCCTAGTAACACCATTACTGTTTCTTAGGTTATTATCCATTTGGAACTTCTAACTAGGGGTTAGCAAACTCTAGCCCACAGTCTATGTAGTCACTGTGGCCTGCCATCTGTTTTTGTAAGTGAAGCTTTATTGGGACACAGCTACACTTATTTGTTTACAAATTGTCTATGGCTACTTTCGTGTGACCTCAGCAGAGTTGAGTGGTTGTGACACAGGCAGTATTTAGCCTGCAAACCCTAAAATATGTACTACCTGTCCCTTTACAGAAAAAATTTGCTGGCCCCTGCTCTAGATCATCTCAGGTCACTGATTCTGGTTAGTTCCGTTTGGTGGTATATGTTAGCTATCGTTACAAACTCTGTCAGTTCTGTTTAAAGTTTTGTTTGGGAGATGTCCCAGTGTTACACCTTGGAGCCCAGTGTGCACTGTGAGAATGCATACCCTTTTTGTTTTTCTACCGGCCAACTCTCAGGATTTCTTAAGTGTGTAGTACCTGCAACTTTTCAGGTCAAGCTATTTACTTGGACTGGTATCTTCTTTCTGTTTCAGCATGATACATGTCCTATATGTAGGAAGAGCTTAAATGGTGAGGACTCTACTTGGCAAACCCAGAACTCTGAGGCCTCTGCAAGCAACAGATTTAGCAGTGACAACCAGCTACATGACCGATGGACTTTCTGAAACTAAGGACTGCATCTGAGCCAGGGCTATGGTAGTCTTCTGCCACAGTTGTGAATTGTATCAAAACAAAAAAATAGTAGGTGGATTTAGGAATCACGTAAGAAGCTCCAACCCATAATATTAATGCAGAGTGTTTTCTTTAAATTTAAATTTAGCATCTATAGATGGAATTGTATCTAAAACCAAATGCCTCTTATTTCTGAATTCAGAGTGATAATTTTATAAGTGTGAAACTTAATTATGTGGGTTTCCTCTTGCAGAATAGAATTAGTTCCCTACAGTCTAGCTAGGGTCCTGCTGTCTGTCATGTTAGCTTGTAAAGGCTATTTTCGCCCCCTTGTCCGGCCTCCACCCTACCATTAGTGTATTGTATGGCAGATACAGTGGACTCAGAGCCCTAAAGTCCTACTGATGTAAAGTCCTGTTTTAATTGTACAAAAGCATATACTCTTGGCTACATTAGCTATGAATTAAGTTCAGATTAATTCAGGAATCTAAGACTAATGATTTTGATTTTTCTTGAACCCTCAGACAGTAAATCAAAGAAAAATTATAGTGGGAAGGAGAAAGTGGCTTATCATTATACTCTTTGGTTTTCTCATTTTGATTTTTAAAGATTACTTCAAAAGATGCAGTTTCTGCAGAAACCAACATCACATGTCTTTGGGGTCTTCTGTTGGTAGGAATCTAATTCTGGTGCCTTTTTGTGAAAGAGCTGAGCAGCATATAGGCAAAGAAGGACAAAGGTTTGAAATCATTGGTTCTGGAGTTTTTTAATGATCCCCAACTCGCCGTTTACTGTCTTTTGTCCTGGGGACTTTAAAATAATTTCCCTCATAGAAATAGAATGACTCCATTGCTGCTTCTATTTACTGTTTTTAGTAATTCATTGGCCTTGAGATTTTACATTTTCTTATTTTAATTTTTTAAGCCCTTTAATCATCTCTGAAACCTTTCTGTTTACTTGCTTCTGGATATACTTAGAATCAAACTGATTATTGTGATCATGTCCAAAACAACCTGGTCTAGGAGAGGTAGGCCTTACTTTTTTTTAGCCTAACAGTGTCCCATGTAGACACATACGCTGTTTGATGCATTTGAAGAAGAACAAAAATGTCCTTGGAATCTCAGAGTCTCAAAAGGAAATGATGGGGGCATGTAATCACTGTTGGTACCCCAAAAAAGGTTACAGAGGGCCACTGTGTGTGGTCATACCAGCCCTTCATAGCTTGGAATGATCAGAACAAGAAGGCCACTTTTTGGTGAGTCTCTTTCTTGGCTCTTTTCTTTTCTTAGTTTCCGTTGACTGTCATACACTATACTCTGATTTGGGGGGGTTAGGGGAAGGGGATTAGAGATATCTTTGTACTTTGGTAGATGATAAAGGAGTAGTAGAGGGAAAAGACAATGTGGAAAAGTGGCCTGCTGAATTAATAGCCTACCTGTAAAAGTTGTGACCATAAGGTATGATTCAGGTTGGGCCCAGAGGAAATAAAAGATGTTGTTTTCATATGCCTCTCATGTCATACCTCTGTAGAGTTTGTTTCTTTGGAGAATGTAAGTTGTTAACTAAGGCTATTGAAATCTAGCCCTCAAATAAACATTGCTTTTGAGTGGGAGGTGAAGAAGCTGGAGGGAGGCGTGAGGTATATTATGAATATTTTTTTAAAATATATTTTTATTGATTTTAGAGAGAGGAAGGGAGAGGGAGAGAGAGAGATAGAAACATCAGTGATGAGAGAGTCATTGGTTGGCTGCCTCCTGCACACCCCTTCTAGAGATGGAGCCGGCAACCTGTGCATGTGCCCTTACTGGGAATCGAACCGTGACCTCCTGGTTCATAGGTTGATGCTCAACCACTGTGCCATGCCGGCTGGGCATTTTATGATGATTAATGGCCACTGTTCAATTGTCTCAGAAAAATTGTGACAGCCTAGAGTATTTTGTCTGCCTGTTAAATGTCTGGAGATGTCAGGACAGGCATTTGTATTTTTACTTACAACTAGAGAACTAGAAATGATCTGAGTAGCTTCACAAAAGGATGGAAACAGAGTGCTGGAATAGGGATTTACCTTTTCAATACGCAGAATAGCAAGTAACAGTCTAAATTATCTGAAATCTTCACTTTTTTTGCTCTGATAGATGGAGGACATGGCTGTTTCCCAGATCCCCCCCCCCCACTTAATGAATCTATAGTGTTTCTTCCTAGAATTGGAGGCGTCTCCGACTTCCTGGTTAATTTATGTTAAGGAGTATATTTGGGTTTTCCAGAGAAGCAGAATGAATAGGGTATGTGTGTGTGCATACATATATAGATTTATAATGAATTTGCTCATGTGATAAGTCCCAAGATCTGCACTCAGCCAGCCAGGAGAGAAACAGCGGTGTCATTCCAGTTTGATTCCAAACACCTGAGCATAGGTGAGTTGATGGTGTAAGTTCTAGTCCAAAAGCTGGAAGATTCGAAACCCAAGAGGAGCTGATGTTTCACTTTGAGTTCAAAGGCAGGAAAGGACTGATGTCCCAACTCAAGCATTCAGGCAGGAGGAATTCCTCCTTGCTAGCAGGACTGTCAGCCTTTTTGTGCTATTCAAGCCTTCAACTGATTGGATAAGGCTCACCCATATTAGGGAGGGAAATCTGCTTTATTCAGTCTACTGATTCAGGTATTAATCTTATCAACAAATACCCTCATAGACACACTCAGAAATAATGTTTGACCAAATATCTTGGCATCTCATGGCTGAGGTAGGTTGGCACATAAAATTTACCGTCATAAGAAAGAAAAATAGAAATGATGTACACAGCAAAATGATTCTTAGCCCATTTAAGTTTTGCCAAATCATGGAAATATCTGTCTTGTTTAGAGACTTTAATACTAGGATTAAACAGTAGAAGAAACATACCTGGGATGAGGACCAGTTTGCTGTGTGCATCATATC